ACCACTCTGGTTGCCTTCCTGTAGATTTACCCAGATGTCCTATACTTCCTAAAGGAATTGTTATATTGGGAAGTTAGACATATTCTATAAGCCCATGAAAATGAAAAGTTTGTAACACAGGTTAACTAAAAGTTAACCACTTGAGTGTGGTGGCTCATGCCTATAATTCCAGCACTTCGGGAGGTGGAGGCGAGAGGATTGCCTGAGCTCAGGGGTTCAAGATCAGCTTGAACAACATGGCGAGATCTTGTCTCTACAATAAATAAAAAAAATTGCTGGGCATGGTGATGTGTGCCTGTAGTTCCAACTACTTGGAAGGCTGAGGCAGAAGGATTGCCTTGAACCCAGCAGGTCGAGGCTGAGGTGGCTGTAAGCGTGCCACTGCCCTCCATTCAGGGTGACAGAGTGAGACACTGACTCAAAAAAAAAAAAAAGTTAATCAGATGAACAATCAATCTGAATGATGAAATGAAACAACAGCAAATGTATATACAATTTATGTAAAACTACAGTACACATATACTAGGTTAGTATACCATCGTAGTTATTTGACACACATGACTGAAATGTCACAACAAACTTATAATGTGAGTATACTCATTTTCTAAAAGAGAGGTTAACTCACTAAGGTGATATAGCTAGTAATTAAAAGTTAACCTAAGATCTGTTTGATTCCAAATTGATTTTTTTCAGTATACCTCATCACTTTTCTGGTCTTAACATACATATTTTTAAAAGTCATCATGTATTAGGAAATGCCACACAGGTAATTCTACATTTACAGTTCCATGAGACTTCAATATTTAAGTAGATACACTGGCTATGTCAGTGATCTGGCTACATACTAATCTTAACAAATAGGACCACACTGAAGATCTTTTTGAAGATAGAGCTTGGACAATTCTAATAACCCCAAAACAGTCTCCAATATAAAGTGCTATAATTACTTTAAACCATCAGCCCTAAAACTTGATTGGTAATTACTGAATTGATATCTACAGTTTGGTGGTTAAGAGTAAGGACACTGGAAGCAGAATGACTAGGTTTGATGCCAGTTCCAACTCTTGAGAACTATGTGATCATGGACAAATAACTTAAGTTTTCTGTGTTTGCAATTCTCCCACCTCAGCCTCCTGAGTAGCTGGTACTACAGGCACATGCCACCACATTCAACTAAGTTCTGTGTTTTAATTCTTGTCTGTAAAAAGATAACCCACACTAAGAACAGTGCCTGGTACATAATAAATAATTTTTATTCATTTATTATTAGTTCAATACATTTTAGTTAATAAAATGATGAAAGTAATGTCATTATAAAAACAAGAGGGGCAACCCTCTTGGGTCCCCTCCTACTGTGGGAGCTTTTCTGTCCTCTCAATAAATCCTGCTTTCTCAAACAAAACAAACAAACAAACAAACAAAAACAACAACAAAAAACAAGAATCAGGTTACCTAAACCAATGGGGATCTAGTGGCCCTGACAAAGGAGATCAGAAAGTTTTTATATAATACTTATTTCATTTATTAAGATTTCTATGCCATCAGAAGTACTATTTTCTTCTAGCTTTCTAACTTTCAAGTCTTTCCTTAGATTATCCCTTGCCCCATATAGCCACCTAACTTAGTTTTCTAAAATTCTGTTTTCTTGAAGTCACATTTTCTGCTTAAGAATCTGTAAAAGTTCTTTACAAATTATCATATTAAAATCTAAATTCTGGAGGCTTCCCAGAGTGGTGTCTGAGCCCCGCATCCCTCCACCCCTCCCCACCCTCCCTGCATCCCTCTCCCTCACCTCCCAGGCTCCAGCCCCACCCCAGGTTCTTCCTCCCTCCTTCTCTTCCCCTCACCCAGGGGGAGGGGGTGGTGGTGTATGAAGACCTTAGAAAAGCCAGCAGTCTTTGTATAACTTTGTCTCCCACTAATCCATCAGTCTGCTTTAGCCTCCTATTCACTAAGCAGCTTGTTTTTTTCTCATTTCTCTGTAAGACATGCTCACATTTCTGGTGCTTCTCAGCCTTTGTTTAGGCTGGTATCTATCCCCCCTTTTCATTTCAGTTATTTTCCACCCTTCTCTTTCTAGTGCATAAATATCATTCATTAGCCATTTCAAATATTTCATTCATCTAGCTATCTGATGAATGTATACAAATATCTCCTACATGCAGCATGCTGCTCTGACTGTTAGGGATTTAGGATCAATAAGAAATTTAAAAACATTTCTGACTACTCATCAGAGCTCTACTTTCTCTGAACCTTTAGTAAACTTGCAATAAATCTCAGCACTTTTTTTCCATATTGCTTCATCTATGTTAGTTCTGTTTCATGTTTTCATTCAATAGACATTTCCTTGCTCACCCACTCTATACTAGGGTGTCTGCTAATAATACCAGTGGTACATAAGACAGACATAGTCTCTCACGAAACTGATAGTCCAGTAGAGAAAGCAGACACTGAACAAGGAATTACAAATATACTAATAATTACAAATAGAATGTAAGGTGTTCTAGGGATGTATATAACATGGAAAGTTATCCCAGTTGGAAATTAAATGAAAGTATATCTGAAAAAATGTCATTAAAACTGACACATGAAAAATGAGAGGGGTTAGGCAGGTGAAGAGTAGGGAAAGTGTGTATCAATAAGGAACCAGATGTGAGCATAACATGGGCAATAATAAGAAAGACTATGGGGGGGAGGGGGAGGGGATTAACAGTAGCAAATATCTGTCTGGGGCTGGGAAAACACCTCTTATCAACAGGGTGTCTGAATGAAACGTAATTGTACACCTAACCCTTAACTGTACCCCACAAAACTATAATAAAAATACTGATTAATTATTAAAAAAAAAAAAAAAAGAAAGACTATGAGTATAAATGAAAAAAAAAGAATGAGAGGAAAAGGCGAATACTGTGATGATTAAATAAAATAACAATAATGTATAAGAACATTACTTCTTCAGTTATAAAGTAGAATCACTAGACACAACACAATTCAACTGTCTAGAACTACGAGATAAAATAATGTTAAGATGAAAACTAAATTAGAAGGAAAGTTAGTCTGTTAAATCAGGTAAGAAAATTAAGTGATTCCTAATCCATAAACTCTACTGAAAACAAAATTTAATAAGTGACAAGAAAAAAACAAACAAACAAAACAAAAAAGTGACAAGAAATCCAACTATTCTTTTTTTTTTTTTTTTTTTTTGAGACGAGGTCTCGCGAAGTTGCCTGGGCTGGTGTCGAACCTGCAGGCTCAGGCAATCCACTTGCCTAGGCCTCCCAAAGTGCTGGGATTACAGGCCCAACTATTCTTCTTTTTTTTTTTTTGAGTCAGTCTCGCTCTGTTGTCTAGGCTAGAGTGCAGATGCACGCTCATAGCCACTGCAACCTCGACCCGCTGGGCTTAGGCGATCCTTCTGCCCAGCCTTCCAAGTAGTTGGAACTACAGGTGCGCACTACCATGCGTGGCTAATTTTTTGACTTACTGTAGAGATGAGGTGTCGCCAAGTTGCCCAGGCTGGTCTCAAACCCATGGGCTCAGGCAATCCTTTCACCCTGGTGCTGGGATTATAGGCATGAGACTCTGTGCCACTTGGGAATGATATCTGATCATCTTACTCCTGGACAGCAAGCTCCCAAAAGGCAGGCATAATATGTTCTTACTCATCTTTGTACTTCATATCACAGAATACATTTAATAAATGTTTGGGAAAGAGATAATAAAACTTCAAATCTGAGAACTAATACAAGTTTTCAAAGCATAATCTCTTTTAACACTTTTAGGACACAAATTATATGCAAATAGTTCACACTTTAAAGACTTGACCTCTAGTTTATTATTACTCTTTGATACTCCAAGGTAGGCTTATCTAACAGCTAAATATTGCTTAATTGTACCCAGAAAAAATTAAGCACACATTATAGCTACTATTTTCTAGTGTTCTAAAAAAAAAAAATCACATGGAAAGACAAGGATAAAAGCTTTCTTCACATAGGTCATTCTCATAATAATGCTGAGCTCAAGTTCTATAAGACACCTGTATGATTCTAAGTGCATTCCAAGTACAAGATGTTTTTCAATGTACGAATTAGTAAATGGCAGAAAGAAGAAAGAAAAAAAGAAAGAATAATAAAAAAGGAAAGAAACAGAAGAAGAGAGAAAATTATTGTATACTCATTTAAGAAATTATTGTATACTAATCTAAGAAACAATAGAAAAAGTGACCACTGAATTACCACCCTGCCCCATAAAACAACAAATTTTAACCATTATTACATCAAACTAAGTTTTAAAATAAGATTTCTCTTTAAAACTCCAGTAATTATCATTAAATATTTTAGAACCAATTTTAATAAATTTTTAAATTTCAGAAAGACTACACATGCAAATATGCAAAGAAGAAATAATTCTGGTGGGGGTGGGGCACACCTTATCAACAAGGGTACCTGCATAATGAACATTTGAATACCTAACCCTGAATTGTATCCCACATATTAAAAATAAAAAATTTAAAAAAGAAAGAATTCTGTTAATGTGTGTAAAGTACGTACAATTTCACTTCAGCTACAAAATATAGTTTAATTTAAAATGCAATCATTTGCTTTTGGAACCTTATTTAAAGCCATTTTGGGACTTACACTGAGCTGTGCTTAACTGTTAAGAATAGCCAAAAATAATAAATGTAGCAACAGGAGAAAAATTTTGAAATCCCACCACTAATATTATGGATAGGGCTAATTTTATACCTTAATCAAACTGCTACTCTAACACTGATTCACAAAACATCAAAAGGTCAAATGACACAATCAATGACTTAACAAGTAAAAGTGTAACATCTTGCCTTTCTGCACTGAAATTCCCAATAATTGAACTAAACCATACAATACTGTGGACTGATTTCACCGTCAACTAATTAAAAATAAAATTTACATGTAATCACGCATTTTTCACCTTCATTTGCGTTTACAACTATAAAAATATGCCTTTATGTTAAATCCTACCTCATTGTATCTGTTGCTGGGAATTTTGATGCTGGTTTTCCGAACTTCCATATCAACCACCAAACCTTGAACTACTGGCAAAGTATACTGGTAATTTCTGAAGTCCTGGGCAAAAGGAGATTGAAGTAGAATAAATCATCAATTGTAGGATTTCATTTACAGTAATAAAATTAACACAAATGAAAAGAATGCCAATACTGAGAGATCCAATTTATTTACATAAGACCATATATAATGAAAGCCCCACTGTGTGCATTTTATCTAATTAGCCTATAAACTCTTATCAGGAAGTAAACTAAACAGTTTCATATACCCCCTATGCAATACATCAAACAATTATTTTAATGCTTACACTCTCTATCACCACTTAACATTTTCTTTCTTTCTTTCTTTTTTTTTGAGTTGGAGTCTCACTCTGTCGCCCAGACTGGAGTGCAGTGGCAGGCTCCCGGCCACCACAGCCTCGACCTGCTGGGCTCCGGCAATCCTTCTGCCTCAGCCTTCCAAGTAGCCAGAATTACAGGCGTGCGTTACCACACCCGGCTAATTTCTTTCTTTTTTTAGAGATGGGGTCTTGTTCTGTACAGCCCAGGCTAGAGTACAATGGTGAGATCACAGCTTACTGCAGTCTCAAACTTATAGGTTCATGCAATTCTCCACCTCAGCCTACAAAATAGCTAGGACTACATACACATGCCACCATGCCAAGATTTTTTTTTTTTTGTAGAGACAAGTTTTCCCTGTTTTGCTCAGGTTGGTCTCAAATTCCTGACCTCAAGTGATCCTCCCACCGTGGCCTCCTAAAGTGCTTGGGATAACTGGCATGAGTCACCACACCTGACCACAACACTTTTTATATTTGTTAACTATCTGTCTCCCCTCCTTCTAAGGTAAAGCTCCAATAGGGTATAGACTCTCAACTGTCTTGTTCTTGCTATATCCCTAATGCCCCAGCCATCTTAGACACTCAGTGAGTATTTGTAGGGAAACACACTCACACACAAAGACACAAAGACAGACAGAAAACAGACACAGACACACACACACACACACACACACACACACACACACACACACACTCTACCATATCCAGCGTGGCTAAGCAAAATGAGCATGATAGTGGGAGTAGAGGTCAAAGTAAAAGCATACAGTTAGATTTCATAAGTTCTTGTAGGTTACCACAAGGACTTTTGACTTCAGGCGGCTTCTGAAGGGTTTTAACAGATCTGACTTCTCTATAACAGACGATAAAAGAAGAAGGATAGGAGAAAAGAGATCAAATACTATAGTAACAACAATCCAGGTAAGAGACAGTGACAACTTAGATCAGGATGTTAACAGTCTGAAACATGGTAACAAGTTGTCAGATTCTAGATACATTTTTAAAGGAAAACCACTAATATTTGCCACTAGATTGTATATGGATGTGAACAAAAGACAAGAGTTAAATTTTATGGCCAGGGCTACTAGAAGACTGGAATTGCCATTTTCTGATATGTAGAGTATGTTGTGAGGTGAAGGGTGTTTCTCAGTAACTTAACTGTGTTACTTGTAATAGAGCTCAAGAATACTGATAGAGACACAAAAGTATTCAGTACCCAACAAGATAAAATTACAATCATCCAATTAAAAAAAAAAAAGCAAGAAAATGCAACTCAAAACAATAGGAAAAAAAAAAATCAATCCATGAAACCTGAGCCAAAACTGATGCCAGAATTACCAAAGGCATTATAACAGCAATTATAATTGTATTTTTTTTTTTAAGTGAGAAAGCAGGATTTATTGAGAGGGCAGAAAAGCTCCCACAGTGGGAGGAGACCCAAAGGGCTTGCCTATAATTGTATTCTACATGTACAAAAAGTAAAAACAGAAAAGATTTGAAAAGACCCAAGTAAAACTTCTAGAGATGAAAATTATAGGGTCTAAGAGTTTTTAAAAGATGGATGGAATTAACGGTAGCTTAAACATTGCAAAATAAAAGATTAGTGAAATAGAAAGCACAGCAATAAAACCTATTCCAAATGAAATACAGAGAGAAAAACGACTGGAAAAGAAATAGAAAGAACATTAGGCCGGGCTCGGTGGCTCAGCCTGTAATCCTAGAACTTTGGGAGACCGAGGCAAGTGGATTGCCTGAACCCAAGGGTTCAAGACCAGCCCAGGCATTGGTGAGACATTGGCTCTACAATAAATAAATAAATAAAAAATAGCCAGACATGACAGCATGTTCCTGTAGTTCTGCCTACTTGGAAGGCTGAGGCGGAAGGATTGCTGGAGCCCAGCAGGTTGACACTGGGGTGGCAGTGAGCATACTACTGAATTACAGCCTGGGCGATAGAGTGAGACTCCAACTCAAAACAAAACAAAACAAAACAAAACAAAACAAAACCAAAACCTAAAAGAACATTTGTAGCCGGGCTCAGTGGCTCAGCCTGTAATCCCACGCCTTTGGGAGGCTGAGGTGAGTGGATTGCCTGAGCTCGCGGGTTTGAGACCCGCCTG